CACTTGTTGGTATAATTAAACTAAACATAAAGGGAGACCGGTCTTTTGAGTCACTTATGTTTAAACTTGACTTTGCTCAAAATGTACATCTTCGAGAAAATAATGATTGGATTATAATTCCACCTTTTCAGAAACAATAGATGCAATGTCTCAAATTTCTACCCCCCCCCCGCTTGAAATAAAACATCCGCATACAGCCCAATTTGACGGCGATAGGACACCCATACACATACAGATATGCCCTGCGATAGATTGATCGGTCATAGACGTAGATGTAACTCATAATAATAAAGTATTATTATTATTGAATGTGACACAAAAACAAGGAATATCGAATAAGTCAACTTTATGGCTGCCGTAATGAACACAATCCCTGGAATAACCATACCATATATCTAGAAAGCGACACGTAATGTCACATTAAGCACCTTCCCGGGACTCCACCTGACGTCAGATGTACTGAGTGCCTCCCTGGAACCACACCCGATGTCAAGTGTACTGAGCACCTCCACCAGGCTACACCTGTCACATAGCGTCCTTCTACAGTCGACCACTATTGTTTTGCTCAATTATAAGTTTGTAACTCTCCAATACACAAACCATACCACGCTGCAATAACCATGGCAACTTGGCGCGGTGGACATATTATTGAAGGTGAAATCAACAACACTTTGAAATGACATAATGACCATTAACCGCAAGACTATAAGCACCCTGAGTCAATTTGAATAACAATCACGGCTTGAATTCTTTGACAGAATCTGGAGTCAAATTGGCAAGCAAATCTGAAAGGGATAACCATATGAACTAATAGGGATGACTGAAAGTGTGTATCCAGAATATTTTTTGCGCTGTCTTATTTGTACGGTTTTATTTTTCTTAAATGTGCCAACATTTTTCACCGTAGCGTCTTGCACTCTGTATCTAGCTTGTAAACAAATCTACCAGCCAGCCACCCCGATGATTTCAAAAGATTTCACTCGCGTAAACATGAAACAGATGAAGATGGGTTGCTGAACATCACTCATGGACCACGTGACCACCACGCGGCTTGAAATCCCAGTAAGGGATTTAGAGATAGGAGTATGTCGTACTAGAAATTTGTTTTCATTTAATTTTCAAATTTGACTTGAAATGCTATCACGTTGATGGGTCACGTTTTGTGTGGACGAGTAACACGTGCTATCAGTGTAATCCCCACGAAAGACGTCAGTGTGTTTGTTGCACAGGATATAAATAAATAACTGTATAAACTTGTTATTGAAAAAACATAAATACTAGTAATCTATGTATGCCCATTGTTTTAGAAAAAATAAACATCGCGGTTGTCTTAGGCTCAGTGAAGCTTACGTTAACACAGTAGGGAAATATCGAATGAGTTCACGGAAAAAAACTTGGTGTCATCAAAACTGAATGTTATTTATTCACCTTACTTGAGTCAGGCAGAGTCATCTGCCGAACTTGTCACGTTTCACAATTTAAAAACTGTTACGACTAAATAGCCACCAGTCGGCCATATTCGTTCCATATTTCTGTAATTTAACACTTCCAGCCGCCCCCCATATTACAAATGGTTGAACCCTAACAAACACACGGCAAAGGAAATTTGCGTTGTTGTTTTGAGAGTCAACATGTTAGAATGCTTTGAAGGCTTTGAAATGTAAACAATATTACATTTTGAAAAAGGTAAACATGTTACTTAAAACACCTTTAACACGCAGTACCCCTCCCTCCTCTCTTATCTCCCATAGGCGACATCGGATAACCACCACATGTGCACATATGACATAAACTTTACATCATATCAGTCACGTTAACCTATATTGTACAGATCGCTTTGGCTTTTATCGAAAATATGAGTTCAGAAATACATTTATGTTCTACTGTTGTTGTTGATTCAGTGCAGTGAAAATGGCAGTCAGAATAGCATTTGCTCAATAACTAACCATGCCTTTTTCATGTTTTTTTTATGAATGATAAACTTGCATATTTGCATGTAATATAAATACTCAAGGAATCATAAAGTCAAGTATGAACAATATTTTAGAACATCTTAACCAACACAACACGCTAAAAACGCAAAGGCTCATGGGTAGTTTGTTTGTAAACAATGGCACTCTATGGCCATCTGACGCATGCGCAGGTGACGACTCCCACGCTTTAAATTTTATCGTCAAAACATTGGTCACAGAAGATTTCATGATTATTAAAATTAGTGTATATCTTTGTTCTAATCAAAATCATCATTCAAATGAGTACTACTAGTCGAGCGCCAATCAGATTCCTTAATTTGTAGATGTGATAAATGTGAACAAGAACTCATCGGTGAGGTTTGTTAAATTTATGCATTTAATTATTTGACTACACAAATGTACGAATAACAAAGATACACGCTAATTTGCACATTAAACCATAGACCCTCCAGTAGAGGGTCTGGAGGGTCTATGATTAAACATCAGATACTAGTAAAGGGACAAAACAGAAATTAAAAAGAAATTATACAGAATCGCCGTGGCTATTATGTTATTTATGTTTACTCAACATTTTCTAAGAAATTGTGATTTTCCTTTCACTTTTTTTCCGTGCTCATTAGTAAAGAACGTATTTGTTATCACGTGACCATATAAAGGTTTAACCTTACTTAGCATCGATTTCACTTAGTGTAAATATAAGCTTTCATAAAATATCTAATTTGATATGGTTTATCCCAATTCTTCTATAAAAATAATTCGTGTGAATTTCACTATATGAAAACTTCTACTACGCTCTTAATATTGTATTATTATAAATTTTTATATTTGTCATGACAACGAAAAGCTTTAAACATATACGTGATAGTGGGTACGTTGCTAATTATGTAAGTAGTGAGAACTGGTTGCTAACTTGAAACGTCATGTGGGAGATGTAATTTATTTTAATTTCGCTTATAAATTTAATTTAAAATGCTAACACTGTGGTGAGTCGCGTTCCCTGTGAACGAGTAACGCGTGCTAGCATCGGTGTAAGTGCATCAACAGCATAATCTTTCCACGAAAGACGTCACTCACGTGTTATGTTCATTTGTAAGTTATTATCTCATAATATTTGCAACGTGTTACGTATCTGCCACCTGGACCGCCATTATAGTACAGTCGGGGTCCGGTGCAGATAATGGTCCAGTGAATGGAGGGACCCGTACTGACAGTGGTCTAGTACAGTCGGGGTCTAGTGCAAACAGTGACCTAGTGAATGGAGGGGGTCGTACTGACAGTGGTCTAGTACAGTCGGGGTCCTGTGCAGGCAGTGGACAAAAGAATGGAGGGGCCAGTACTGACAGTGGTCTAGTACAGTCGGGGTTCAGTGCAGATAGACTGACCCAATAAATGGAGGGACCAGTACTGACAGTAGTCTAGTACAGTCGGGGTCCTGTGCAGGCAGTGGCCAAGTGAATGGAGGGGCCAGTACTGACAGTGGTCTAGTACAGTCGGGGTTCAGTGCAGATAGAGTGACCCAGTGAATGGAGGGGTCAGTACTGACAGTGGTCTAGTACAGTCAGGGTCTAGTGCAAACAGTGGCCCAGTGAATGGAGGGCCCAGCACTGACAGTTGTCTAGTAAAGTCGGGGTCCAGTGGAGATAGTGACCCAGTGAATGGGGGGCTAGTACTGCCAGTGGGCTAGTACAGTCGGGGTCCAGTGCAGATAGTGACCCAGTGAATGGCGGGGTCAGTACTGACAGTGGTCTAGTACAGTCGGTGCAGATAGTGTGACCCAGTGAATGGAAGGACCAGTACTGACAGTGGTCTAGTACAGTCGGGATCCAGTGGAGATATTGACCCAGTGAATGGAGGGCCCAGTACTGACAGTGGCGTAGTACAGTCGGGCCTAGTGCAGATAGTGAACGTGGCCCAGTGCAGAAAGTGGCCCAGTGAATGAAAGGGCCATTACTGAATGTGATCCAGTGAATGGAAGGGGCAGTATTGACAGTGGTCTCGTACAGTCAGGGTCTAGTGCAGATAGTGACCGTGGTCCAGTGCAGAAAGTGGTCCAGTTAATGAAAGGGCCAGTACAGAAAGTGATCGAGTACATTCGGGGTCCAGTGCAGATAGAGTCACCCAGAATGGCCCTCCATTATAGTACAGTCGGGGTCCGGTGCAGATAGTGGTCCAGTGAATGGAGGGACCCGTACTGACAGTGTCTAGTACAGTCGGGGTCTAGTGCAAACAGTGACCTAGTGAATGGAGGGGTCGTACTGACAGTGGTCTAGTACAGTCGGGGTTCTGTGCAGGCAGTGGAAAAATGAATGGAGGGGCCAGTACTGACAGTGGTCTAGTACAGTCGGGGTTCAGTGCAGATAGAGTGACCCAATAAATGGAGGGGCCAGTACTGACAGTGGTCTAGTACAGTCGGGGTTCTGTGCAGGCAGTGGACAAATGAATGGAGGGGCCAGTACTGATAGTGGTCTAGTACAGTCGGGGTTCAGTGCAGATAGAGTGACCCAGTGAATGGAGGGGCCAGTACTGACAGTGGTCTAGTACAGTCGGGGTTCAGTGCAGATAGAGTGACCCAGTGAATGGAGGGGCCAGTACTGACAGTGTTCTAGTACAGTCGGGGTTCAGTGCAGATAGAGTGATCCAGTGAATTGAGGGGCCAGTACTGACAGTGGTCGGTTACAGTCGGGGTCCAGTGCAGACAGTGACCTAGTGAATGGAGGGGCCAGTTCTGACAGTGGCCTGGTACAGTTAGGGTCCAGTGCACAGGGGCCGATTTAGGGGGCGGAGGGGACGCGACCCCTATTTTTAACAACCGGCAAGGGCTTCGCGCCATCGGCGCTCGCGAACTTGGCCTTCGGCCAACTTATCGGTCCCCTATTTCAAAATTCTAGATCTTCCCCTGAGTGCAGACAGTGGTCCAGGGAATGGAAGGACCAGTACTAACAGTGGTCTAGTACAGTTAGGCACCAGTACTGACAGTGGTCTAGTACAGTCGGGGTCTAGTGCAAACAATGGCATGTGAGACAGGGTTCAGTGCAGATAATGGCCGGGCATAGTCAGGTAGTCAGCGCACAGGTAGACATCGCACAGGTAGTCATCGCACAGGTAGACATCGCACAGGTAGTCATCGCACAGGTAGACATCGCACAGGTAGTCAGCGCACAGGTAGTCAGCGCACAGGTAGACATCGCACAGGTAGTCAGCGCACAGGTAGTCAGCGCAAAGGTAGACATCGCACAGGTAGTCATCGCACAGGTAGACATCGCACAGATAGTCATCGCACAGGTAGACATCGCACAGGTAGACATCGCACAGGTAGACATCGCACAGGTAGTCATCGCACAGGTAGACATCGCACAGATAGACATCGCACAGGTAGACATCGCACAGGTAGACATCGCACAGGTAGACATCGCACAGGTAGACATCGCACAGGTAGTCAGTAGTCATCGCACAGGTAGTCATCGCACAGGTAGTCATCGCACAGGTAGTCATCGCACAGGTAGACATCGCACAGGTAGTCAGTAGTCATCGCACAGGTAGTCATCGCACAGGTAGACATCGCACAGGTAGTCATCGCACAGGTAGACATCGCACAGGTAGTCAGCGCACAAGTAGTCAGCGCACAGGTAGACATCGCACAGGTAGACATCGCACAGGTAGTCAGCGCAAAGGTAGACATCGCACAGGTAGTCATCGCACAGGTAGACATCGCACAGGTAGTCAGCGCAAAGGTAGACATCGCACAGGTAGTCAGCGCACAGGTAGACATCGCACAGGTAGTCAGCGCACAGGTAGACATCGCACACGTGAAGCGTAACAACAAAATGATGGAATGATGCCTAAAAGCATAGACCTTAAAAGTCTTTTAAGGTATATGCTAAAAGGCACGTGTCACTCAGTCACCATACTGCTCTGTGGTAGTTATATGCTCAGCTCACCCCATACGATCCATACGATGGTTTTTCAGGATTTGAGTTCCTTTGTTGCGTGTAAAATACACGTATTCTAGAGGGACTGTGTTTTCATTATCGTTTACAATGTTCAATATTGTGTTTTTGAAACCTCTTTTGATTGTTTATGGATAATATGTTGTGAACAATGGGACGTACTGGTAATGGTATTACCATACACGGAGCCGTGCAATAGTTACAAGACATCGTTTTCCATGGCGAAAATGGCGTCTACGTAGTGTTGTCCATAGGTACCCGAAACGATTCGGGCTAAAAACAAAACATGTCATGCACATCCAGAGTATTTATTATTATTGGGTTCTCAAAAATAAAAATTAAATAGGACATTAACCTTCTCACCACCAGTTCCCCCCTTTTTTCACCAATCCATCAAATAGTCCTGTTTAAAAAGTCTGCAAATTTTGTTGGTAAAAACTGAAAATTGACTAAAATGTTGTCTGTTGGCTCCAAAAATGGGTTTTATTTCCATAAATACTGGTGAATATACAAAAAAAAAATTGCAGACAAATAAAATGAAATTTGGGCGAGAAAGTCTTGTGGTGAAAGAATTAACAGTAGATGTACAGCGTAAGGCGAACACCCCCGAATATGCGGGCATGGCAAGTGGGTATCTTCCTGTTGGCTATCGTCGCACACATCGCTATTATAAAACTACAACGGGCGTGTATTTTTCATTCACTATTATAATACCAGCATTATTTAGCTACAGTGAATTGATGAGACTAATTTACATAATCCCGAACATCGACATCTGGCCTATCATGATTTAAAGGTTTAGATCATAGTTTGGTGTCCTTGTACTTGATAAATTAGGTTTGACCTGTTTACATTATTATTTCTAATTTCTATGCAGAAATTGCCATCACCCTTCTACCAGAGAAGTCATTTATCTATTATATGTTGAAATAAAACACAATAGTATTTAAAAAATGCCCCACTTGTGTAAAAGTTGTAATATACCATAACGCTTGTACACTGAATCACTTTCCGCAAATGGTTTCCTTGGAAACGACTGGTAAAAAGGCGGATATCTATGGCAACTTTACATATAACAGTTTTTCAGTGAATATACATCGAGGTACTTTTGTGTGAAGAGCTTCGCTGCCCGTCGTCGCCATGGCAACTATATCCAGGTACCTAGTTTCCGCTCAAATACAGCGAACGAGAACATCTGGCAAACGATGGGGATTTCGATCCGAGGATTGCAAACAATCATGTGGTGACAAATAATGTGGGAGTAAACAATTTGCATATTTATAAAAGGCATTCATGAACACTAGATTACCCGAACGGCGTAAGCACATTGCAACTATAGTCTATTTTGAGTTGTAAAGCATACCATAGTTGACCTTCGTTTATACCTATTTCATTTGAAATAACACGCACACTCAAAACGAATATGTTTCTAAACAGGCCAAGGCTATGTATACACACTTTGTAAAAACAAACTTTTGAATACTACGTTGTTTGATATTGACCTCATATGTCAGGCATATAGCTGTGGATTCTATTTAAAGGTACCGCCAAACTATGGACCTACGCCACAAATCGACTAGGTCATGTGTTCAGACTATGCCTGCAACACGCCGTCCACCGTGAACACAATACGAATCAGAGTACATTGTACACACTTTAAAACGAGTGCGTCGAGTTGATGTACGGTATATTATAGCACGTAACCGCCGACGGCGCCGACTCGCATACTATGTGCAATACTGTGTTTTGAGTGTACTTTACGTGGTGATTTATTGCAACACAGACAGGTCGACTGTGCCTTACTAGAAAACACGCTCGAACTTCTCTCATATTTAAAGCAGTCACCCAAATAAAAATAAAGCATCACAGCTCACATTTTACGGCAATACGTGGGTTGCCGAGGCAATTGAAATAACGAAAAATATTTTGAAAAAGTAAAGGTTACTTATGGAAAATAGGTTGCAACGAAACTGATTTATTTATTTCAGTAACTTGTCTGACCGTCAGTGGCCGTACAGTATTGGTACACCGGTCACAAGAGACCGTGCTGGCGACGACAGTTGTAAACCAATGCATCGGGTTGGCGGGACATGCTGCTTCCGCTTGACCGAAGTATTGAGTTGGCGGAACACGGTGCTTCTGCTTGACCGAAGGCCGGTATTATTAATACTGGACAGGGGCTTTTGTTGGAGGGCAGATTAAAACTAGGGAACTAAACATACTAACAAGTCACGAACCTCTAGACAAGCACGGATACCACAGATTGGTATGCGACCTTTGGTGGTCATATAAAACAATCGCTAAGCACATACGTGGGTCATTTTAGTCGAACTCATGCCAAAGATATTCTGTTATTTCCTGCGTGGGCAAAGTAGCACCGAAGTGACCGTTCACAGGCCACCTTGGTCAGCCATGCATAAAATAGGACGTGAAAACACCTTATAGAGGGCCTCATAATGAATGAACGAGTCACGCTGCATAAATTAAGATTGCGATAATACACATACATATAACACAAACAAACTTAGTTTCATTCAGATGTCTTTTACTACAAACTTTACCAAAGTTGTATCAAATGTTCAAAATTTTTTCTAGTCAAAATATATTACAAGTATGATAGAAAATGATTCTGGAATCCTGGACATTGTCAACTGTGAAAAAAACAGGCA